AATTCATTTAGTAACTTGAGTGTACCTCAACGGATCCCATGGATTCGTCTATATTAAGCTTGTTAGGCAGATTTAACTCATTGAGTTTTTTAATGGCCACGGTATACAGTGTTTGTAAGACAGGGTTTGCATGAGCTGAAGGAGAGAACATCTCTATGGTATATAATGTGCTTAAGTAATTTGTGGATAACTGAGGAATACCATTATCCTTCTGTACTAGTGATGCAGTATTACTACCATTCTATAGACTTTAAAACAAGCTTTTTCTTTAGAAAATCTTCTGAACCTGAGGAGGGTTGAGACACTAATATTCAGAGTATCCCGATAATAAGATTTAGTCTTTTATTCCCTGTGGAAGAAGGGATACAATGTAATGAGTTTAAGAAGCGTTTCCATACGATGTGTACCCGCTTGAGCCTCACTGCCTATAAAATCTGCTCGAAGCGCAATCCTCGTCGGCTCTGTACGTTTTGTCGTTTGAACAAAACATTACTCATCCAACAAACAGTTAGTCTTCTGGTATTGACTAGTGAAAAGTTTGACAAGTGCTGTACCGGTAGCATGGGAACTGATAACAAAGATTGCGTCAGTGTCATGGGTGATGTCACAGTATGTGCCAGACACCCAATTATGCAATACGCAATAGTGATTTATTTCCCGAAACAACTAATGAGTGATGCGCTATTAGATATTGATGGCCAAGTTGCTACAATAGTAACTGATAATCCAGACAAAACCATTATCGTCCCGAGTAGTTCTGATGTGGATGTTTTGACTGATGAAAAATGGATGAAGTGTAGGAAAGACAGCCAAAAATGACACCCGTTCAGTTGAAAAGTCCTCGGTGGATTCACATTCTGCGTGTCAGATTACTCCGCCAAAGTCCCTAAGTAAGACCTCATCGAACATTGTTGTGAGTCATTCGCTGGACTCTCGCGACTCTGATACAAGGGTAATTAACGGGAAGATGCCGGAAGTTAACGGGCGGGATCTGACATCAGGACCGAGGGCCGTGAATATGACGTTGAAAGAAGTTAAACCCGTTCCTAGCCTAATTATTTGGAATGTAGAGGCGTCAAAAGACAATGAACCCACAAAAAGACACACACGACCTACAGTTAGGGGAATCTTAATCAGAAGTGTACTGCCTGAGGAGGTTCCAGGGTTACATAACACGGAAGTGATATGACTCGGCAAATAGGTTGGAGGCGACACCCAACCAAAAAGGATATTAATGTTTGTATTCGGGAATTTCGAAGAAAGAGATGTTATATTGAAAAACGAACACAAAGCTCTGATTCAAATATTCGTATACGACTAGATTGACCGCTTGAAGTTCGAATAAAGCGGAAGAATGCTCTTACAGAGTTACGAACTCGAAAGCTAAATGGCGAAACAAAACTTAGGACTAAGGGTTTTCGGGTAGTCACGTCTTGGAAGCCAATGCTTCCGAGACCTGTATAAGTAAAACGAATGATCCCCAAAACACCTTAAATGGGTGCTACACGAACACACGTAGTCTTCAAAACAAAACGTCCGAGCTAAGCTTGATTGTGGATGAATTAAGTTCCCATGTGATTGTTTTCAAAGAAACTTGACTCACCGTAGACGCAGACTGTTCTCTCATCATTGCAGGCTACGTCTGTTCTGGAAGTGATAGATTTTTAGATCACAAAGAGGGGTATAATGTTATACATCAGGGATGCTTTCGTATACAGTTGACCATATCGAAGGCGCATGTTAGTGGTACATGTGAGGTAGCATGTTGTACGATTACGTCTAGAAACGGGTTAGTGGCTATAGGAGGAATATACCGTAGCCCGTGTTGTCTTGCTGAAAACCTTATCTTAAGACACATCTTTTCTTAGAGTAAGTCAGAATGTTTTCTCATAATTGGAGAATTTAACTCACAACATATCAACTGGATAGAGCTTACAGCTCCAGATGGGGGTTTCAATAGTGACCTTCTATCAACTATTATTCAGTGTGCTCTTGTACAATATATCGCAAACCCGACACTTTGACTTGGAACATGACCCGTCATTGCTGGACCTTGTCCTCACGGACCACTGAGAGGATGTCATCGATATTCAGCACCTTTCCACACCAGTGAATAGTGATCACGTTGTACTTTAGATTTCGGACATATGGTATACAATTTGTATTTGCTCCACCGCGTCCTTGGCGAGTCAATATTTTTGGCAAACAGAGACTGTGCTGACTTGAATGACTATTCGGTCGATGCGGGTGGACCGATCGAAGACGAATGGAATAAGTTTAAGGCCATATTTGATTTCGTAACATCACCGTTTATTCCATGGTCAACACGTAAACTATCACATTGCACTGAATGGATTAATAAGGAAACCAGGAAGCTGGTGAAGTGTAGGAAACACTTCTGGGACTTGCTCTTTTAGATAGAACACGCATCATCTAAGTGTGAATATAAAAATCCGAAATATATGTAAAAAGACCGTAGCCAAATCCCGTACTATTTATGAACGACAGTCGGCATATGATAGCCTTTTTGTCTGAAATGATTGTTTTCGAATGTTAAACGGCGAACGAAACATAGTGATGGCATTTCCCCGTTAGTGCTACACGAATATTCAGAACTACTAGTTAAATCAGATCGGGAAGAAGTTGAGACTTCCTCAAACTATTATAGCGAAGTCTACTCTACATGTATTCTTACAAATACTTGTCCCAATCACACCGAGATCCCAGCCATAGGATCTGTGTATGTGACTGAGGAAACAATTCTTCCACCTTGTAAGATACCGGGCCCTGACGGGTTTGTAGTAAGCCCATTCAACTACTGTATGATTTATCTGCCTACTGTAATTTAGACACTTGACCCACTATGTAGATTTCCGTGTGTGTCTGATTGAGCACATTTCTGCACGTCAATTTTTAATCTATTCTCCCATTGGATGTAATATACAGACAATCAATAATTTATCCACACTTGATTAATACTCAAAAATATGTATGGATTTCTAACACTCACACACACACACTTGTTTTCCCTATGTGATTGCTTCCTGTTCGCTTGCGGATCTTACTAACCTTTAACAATAAACTCTCTGTATAAATGGTGTTCAAGCTTTTAAATAATCTCTAGTAAATCCATAATTTTACTAGGAGATTGAGCCTGCATTAAATACTCAGTTAATGGGATACTAGCAATAGGGATCAGATACAGGGAAAATTAGCCTATACATGTGACATCCACGACTGCCGTCATCTCTTGCTGACATTATTTCAAGACTGCTCTTCAACATGTCTCTTTCACTCGCTCAACTCCCTAGAGATTGGAAAGACGCTATAGTCGGTCCTACATTTAAGGATGGTCGTATATAACTACCCGTATGTTAGTCTAACCAGCATAGTTGTTAAGTTACTTGAAAAGATAATCCGGGTTAAGTTACTAAGTCACATAGATTCGTACAATCTGTTAACTCCCGAGCAACATGGGTTGCGTAAAAGGCGTTCATGCTTGACTAAATTATTGCGAGAAAGGATTGGACAGCAGCCCTAGATAACGGTCTGTCTGTGGATGTGATATCCATAGATTTTAGCAAAATATTCGACAAGGTTTCATACTTAGGTCTTATGCAGAAGCTCTCGAGCTTCGGAATGACAGTTACTGTACAGGAATGGATAGGAAACTCCTTATGTGATCACAGACAGAAAGTGAGGGTCAATGGAACGCTATCTGAATGGAACCCTACCAGAAGTGATGTACCCCAAGACACCATCTTAGGCCCTCTACATTTCCTTTTCTACGTTAACTAATTACCGTTGTTGCTTAAGTCATCGACATTATTGTTTGCAGATGATGTCAAAATCTGGAAAACAATAAGAAGTGAAGCTGATCATTTTGATCTTCAAGCTGACTTAGACGAATTAGCTAGATGGGCTTGAGTTTGAGGCTTAGATATTAATAGTAGGAAGAGTGTGCTCATGCACATCGGACACCGTAATTGTAACCATTACACTATTGATGGCATATCTCTTCCACGCGTTAATGAACATAAAGACTTAGGAGTAATAATAAGTCATGACTTGAAAACAACTACGCATTGCTACCAAAAGTTATCGTGGGTTGTGTTCACTTCGCCGAGCATTCAAACGTTTTGACGAGATGATTCGAATTTTATATCCCACATATGTAAGACCACACTTAGAGTACTGTATTCAAGCATCTAGCCCATATCTGATAAAAGATACTAACTTATCTGAGTATGTTCAGCGTATGGAGACAAATTAGTGAAGGGTCTTTCTAGACTCCCTTATGATGAGCGCCTAAAACGCCTAAATCTTTTCCCCTTGTCGTATCGTAGGACGCGAGGTGAACTTATACTGGCACTTAGTATCCTTGATTATGATTTGGGTGTTAGTATGTCTTATCTTTTTGCTCCCTCCAGCATTGGTAATCTCCGAGGTCATAGCAAGAAGGTTCACAAACCGGGATCTAATAAACTTAAAGTGGGGTCCCGTTTTACCCATCGAGTAATCAATGGCTGGAACGCCTTACACGAACATGCGGTATCAGCCCCAATAACAAATGTTTTCAGGGAGAATTTGGGCCCTCACTGGACGACAATCTGTCAGGGTTAACACAGGTTCACCAACCTATCCTTATAACAAAAGGCTGTCTTTTCAAATTAGACGCATGTAAGTTCACATAAAGGTTATGAGTATATGCAGATCACTACACGTTTGTCTAATGAGAGAAAATTCATTGCTCCAAAAAGTTTACTGTTTGGTTGACTAACAGATAACGGCCCGATTTACTCATGATATTCATCAGAATGAGCTATGAGTAGGAGAAACCAGACTTTAATAAGATTCGGGACCGATTTTTCCATATAATACACGACGAGTTCTGATGATAGTGCATATTGAAACAGAGGTTCATCATTATTTTGTATGAAGAAAACCAGTGACGTTTTGTCTTATGTTTCTGTTTGTCAAGACGGTGTTTTAATTGCTATATTATGATAGGCACTAGCTTTGGATTTTCGTGCTCTCAAGGTTATAAGGAATTTCGTGATGTCGACGTTTAACGCTGGGCCAGCAAATACAGGAGCTGCACCGTATGTAGACATATTCTTATATATATTTAAAATAAGTGTGGAGCTCACTGCAGGCAAAATCCGTGAAATGATGGCTAATGCTCAAAGAGCAATAGCTCAACGGAAGTTTGAGCTTGGCTTGGTTGGTTTCGTAATTTTTGAAGGACTTAATTTGTCGTTAGACGGAGAATGGTGCTGCCAACGGGTTGAATTTTCCCCCAGGAGTCATTCCTGATACAGAGACAGTTGATAAAATGAGACGAGCTGCTCAACTGCAAGCGCAGATAAACGCTCGCTTGAACTCAGGAATTCTGAGTAGCCACTCTGTGAACAGTGACTCCAGGTAAAATAGTGATTCGTCTTTATCCTTGTTCATTAGGAAGTCTAAGGATATTCCCAAGTAAGTAAATCACTATCAACTTACTATCTGGCTAGTGTGATATTCGACGAGCAAGGTAAAACTATCGATGCTTCTACTGGAGAGGAAATACAGCTTACTCACTACACACCAACACTCAAAGTATGTTAATGTTTATTAAATATGTTTGCAGGCCAATCTCAGGGCAAAACGAGCCCAGCAGTTCAAAGAGGTTCTTCAGACCACAACTCAGAAGAAACCTCAAAAGTCTTCAGTATCAACCATATTTTTTGATCCTCGACTAAGGTATAATCAGTTAGTAACGTAATTTTCTCAGAGTTAAAGCTGCTTCACGTCCAAAGCGGCAATTGAGTTTCCATGAACCTGGAAAGTTCGTCAAAATGGCTCAGCGCATGCGAACCAAGTTCCAACTTCAAGTCTTACAGGAATCTGTCGCCCAAGCTGTCAGAAAAACGGGTATCGCTAGTGCAGCCAAACTGTCGACCATCCAACCCAAACGTTCCGTCGACGAAACAGATATACCATTACTGGAATGGTGGGATGCTTATATTCTGAAGGAGGGTGTAACTAGGTGGGTTGTTTCTGTATAGTCTTATTTTCCTACCCCAGTTACTCCACTTTAGACGAACTAGCAATCCATGGCCTCCCTGTCTCTGCCGCAGTTAATAAGGCCTGGATCACAAGTTTGGTGGAACATCCAGTTAAGTTGAAGCCTCCAACTGATCTGTCCAAACCACCGGAAATACCATTACTCTTAACGAAGAAAGAGCGCAAAAAGCTTAGACGTCAAAACCGTCAGGAAGCTCAAAGAGAAAAGCAAGAAAAGGTTAGACTTGGTCTAATGCCACCTCCTGAACCAAAGGTTAGTTTAATGTCGTTTGTATATTGAATGACCAGTCCTTCATTTATGAATGAAAACTGTGCTATACCAGAGGTATTATATTTTCCCCCAATTAACCGCATAGTGCGTTTAGTTAGGCTTAAAAAACTGAATTTTAATGACAGGAAGACAATATCATTTCGACTTGGTATAACATATTCTTTACTGTTTGCGCTTTTTTATGTGTTGTTCGACTCAAGCAGTAATCGGAACTCAAAGTAAAACCTAACAACTCACGTATATCGTCTACATTGTTTTTCAAAACAGACTTTTCGAGAATGCAAACCGTCCCTATAGTATTTCAAGTTGATAAATTCAAACCTTCAGGGTTCAAATATTATTTTCAAGATGTACGCAGAATAACGCAAATCCTTCCATGTATTTCATGTTATTCAATCACTTCAGAGTGACCCTGACCGTTGTTGCTAGCTTGACACTGTGATCGGGCTTCTCTATCGTGATGAGGCAACCGAGCTACACTGGCTGGAACAACCGTTCCTCAAGGTCCTACCATGGCAGACAGGTCGGTTGAAGAGCGGTAAGGCTAAAAGCAACAAACCCAAGGTCCGAAGGCGAAGTCGTACTGCTGACTGTACAGAGGTGTGGCAGCAGTAAGGTGTTTCCTCCAGACAACCAGCATGAAAGCTATGATGCCTTCCCTCAAGGAGGGGTGGGGTTAGAAAAGGTCGACCCTAAAAATGCATATCTCTCCTGATCCCACGGATATCCGTCTCCGGCGGTAAGGTCTCAACAAGTACGGAGCTAACACAAAAATTACCCACGAAATGGTTGCGTGTGACGGACCTCAAGCAGTTGTCCCTTGGGCACAACGGTCACGCGTTCAGGTCAGTAAGACCACTATTAATCCAATTTCCTTTTCAGGTGCCTCCAGAAGAACTCTTCCACGGTGTGGGCAATCGGGAATTAATAACCGCTCTCACCTCTAACAGCACTCAAGACCACTGTATTCATAATCAACCTTCCTCTTCAATTCCTATTATTCCTCCTACATCGACTTTCCACTTTAAACTCCCTCTTTTGGCTTCCTCCTCAAGTGTCATTGTAGTCAACGATTCTAGTGCGCAAAACACTGTCCCAGGTCTGCTGAGACCTCGCTCCAAACTACATATTGGAGCCTTCAACGTATACACAAGACAGCTCTGAAGACTAATAAAAGAAACTGGAATTAATAAGTCAAATGTAAATCAGACTATTTCGGAAAAAGACGACACCCTCATCTGCTATCAGTCCAGGCGTTTAGAACGATGGGCGGAACATCTCAGAGAACAGTTCAGCTGGCCTTCAGCTAATCTACAACTACCCTCCATTCCCAGACAATGTGAATGGAACATTGAGGTAGGTCCCCCAACTCATGCTGAAGTTCAAAAGGCTATAGTTAATCTGAAACGAGGAAGGGCAGCTGGTCCAGATGGATTGGCTCCAGAGGTCTTTAGGGATTGTGGTCTAATTTTAACGATTAGGTTGACGAATATTTTAGCTAAAATCTGGGAGTTGGACGTAATCCCATCTGACTGGTCACAATCACTGATCGTCTCAATATACACGAGAGGGTCAAAATCATCCTGTGACAACCATAGAGAGATTAGTTTGACTAACATAGCACCTAAAATACTAACCTCAATAATTATCGGCCGCTTAACTAAAACTCATATACTGCAAATACAAGAAAATCAGGCTGGCTTCATACCTGGCTGTATGGACCATATATTCACCATTCGTCAGGTTCTCGAATACAAGCATACTTTCGGCGTCCGACAATGGTGGTCTTTCTTTACTTAAAAGCAGGATTTGACTCCGTAGACTGCCATATTCTGTGGTAGCGTCTGTCATTGAAAGGCGTACCTCAGAAGTACATAAACCTTGTGAAGGCTCTCTACTCGAACACTACCAGTCGAATCAGAGCTTATGGAGAACTGTCATCTGCTTTTGCAACCTCAAGTGGTGTCCGTCAAGGCTGTCCACTTTGTCTATTTTTGTTTAACTTCATCACAGACCTACTGATGGAAATAACATTCTCGTCGACTGAATTCTCGGGCATTGGTCTCCTTCCAGGAGGTCCACTTATCGGCCTAGAATACGCAGATGATATAGTCCTGTTTGGTGAAGACGCTTATAAAATGCAGAGTCTTTTGGTAGCACTGAGCAACAATGCCAGAATGTTTGGAATGCGCTTCTCTCCCTTCTAAATGCAAGCTGCCGCTTCAGGACTGGTCTGCGTCAACACCTGAACTGAGGGTAAGGAGTGAAGTAGTCGAACGCGTTGACAACTTCACTTATCTTGGAAGTCTGATCAGCCCTAATGGGTTGGTGTCTGACGAAATCTCAGCACGGATTCGAATAGCTCGCTTGGCTTTTGCCAACTTACGTCACCTATGGCGAAGGTGAGATATCCGTTTATCAATTAAGGGACGAGTATACTGCGCGGCAGTTCGTTCTGTTTTACTTTACGGCTGCGAAACGTGTCCATTAAGAGTAGAAGATACGCATAAGCTACTAGTATTTGACCACAGATGCCTTATAAATATTGCTAGCATCTGCTGAGATCACCGGGTAAGTAATAGTGAGGTTATACGCAGGGTATTAGGGAATGATGGCAAATCATTTGATGAGGTTGTGAATCATCGTCGACTAAGGTGGTCGGGCCACGCGTTGCGCCTGCCTGAACACCGATCATCACGACGCGCAATGCTAGACGGGGTTGACGATGGTTGGAAGAAAGTTAGGGACGGCCAAACCAAAACGTGACATCAGTGCTTGAAGACACTAACATCTAGTCTGGGCCATGTTGGTAGATGCAGACTACTTGGTTGGGGTCCGCGTGACTATCGTAACCAATGATTGGAGACTCTTGGTGACATGGCTCAGAATCGATCACAATGGCGTAGGTGTATACACTCTTTGTCTTCCCTTAAACTATGAGATTAAAATCGCTTCTTATCTTTCTTTCTACTAACTAATTCTTTCTTCCTGTACTATGTTCTTATATGGAATCTTTCTTTTATATATTAACACCATTGAATTAACTACTTCTATGAATCCGGTGTTCATCTTGCTGTGCTAATACGGTATGGCAACTTGAACCGATGCATATATGTGCCTGGTCCTACGTTGTAGCTGACTGACTGACTCAGAGTGATTAAACACGTGAACGTCCGCCACAGAAGTGATCTAGTTAAGTAACACCACAGTGATGTTTTAAAAGTTTGGTGGTTGGATTTACCAGTGATAGATACAGTTCGTTATAGTATCATGGTCGAGATGCTTCAGGTATACGTTCAGCTATCCTGTCATGAGCTTTAACTCACACGTAAAATCATTTAATATGTAGGACTCAGTTTATTCAGTCCATTTTGTAAAGCTTGACATTAGACAGTACAATACACGGATAGTACTGTTTCAAAATTTACACCAGTTGGGTCGTGACGTTTCACCCCTTTGATTTATTAGAACTACTACTGTTTGCTATGTTCAGTAGTACAAAATGTCCTTTAAACCAAGAGCAACTGTCAAGTCTGGACTTGAATTTCACTCGAACTCATTTAAAAGCCACTGACGTTTTACTTATTTATTTGAACACAAATATTGGTACAAAGGGGCGCCGAATGCATATGCACCACACAAGTCACTTGATTTGTGTGTGGGCTGTGATAATGCCTGAGTGCCCAGACCGAAGCAGGTGGTTTTCTTAGGGGGCCATACACCGAGCTTTTGACCTAAAGGTCTGGTCCACAAGGCGGTGTAGCATCCTAAGGAGATGCAGTCCCACGGTAGCCGGTGACCAACGATTGGTTCATACACCATTTGTTCCCTCAGGATCCTGAAGCCCATGTGCACCATTGGTTTGGAATCAGCATTTTCCAACTCATGTTAACTACAACAAAACATTTGGCAACCGTATCGACAAGCCACCACTTTAGCCTATTCGTCGGTCGATTGACAAAACATTTCGAGTAGTTAAAACCTCGAACGAAGTGTTTCAGTCAATTATCTTAACCACTAAATTACCGCTTTAAAGAAAGATATTAAATTACTTCATAAATTCATTGACTGTTGGTCAGAATATTCAGAATTCCTGGTTTAGGTCCACAAGATAGTTGCTATTGGCAACTGGTGACTTCTTGTGGATGACAATTGGTTCTGGTTATGGTTAAAGACAAAAAAGCCTTATGCTAAATCTTGTGAATTAATATGACTGTACGAATGGAGGTTAAAGAAAAAGTATATTAGTGTCCAGAAGGTATAAAGGCTAAATTTTTAAAAAATTGGTTTAAATGAATAATGTGAATATGGTTTGTTTGATTGTTCTGTGGATATCATAAACTTAAATAGGAATTCGGACGTGCCGGTGGTACTGATTACAGTATTCATTGTTTCATTCTCAAAATAGCTCCTGTCAACAATATTCTAGAAAACCGTTCCATTCATTTACTCTTTCTAACTTCCGGGGTATTCGTTTTAAACTCTCTCCTTACATTTCGTTTAATTGTCCTCAGGTCCGTCTGGCGAATTTGATGAGAGTCCTAGGGTCCGATGCTGTTCAGGACCCAAGCAAAGTGGAAGCGTATGTACGAGCCCAAATGGAATCCCGGAAACGAGCACATGAAGCCGCTAACGCTGCCCGAAAATTAACAAAAGAGCAAGCTCGTTACAAACGTATTAAGAAAATACGAGAAGACACAACTCATACCGTTCATGTAGCTGTTTACAGGTAATTCATTTATTTCTGTTTAGGTTTGCACTATTTACTTACACATTTAGTTTTTGATACACTACATCGTTATGTAAAACAATAACAGCAGTTGATCAAGTTCATACTACTTAGTAATTACATGGTATGAATGCTATGGTTATTGCCCCGTGTTTATAATCACAAAGCAGAAAATTTTCTGAATTTATTGGAGCCTCTATTTATTGATATTGAGTATAATGGATATGCAATAACAACAATAATAACAATAACAACCATTGAATGTTACTTGTTCAAAGTAAAACGGGGACCGTAATAGATATTTTCAAATCCAGTTTCACCAGTGTAAAAAGCTTTAGCATGGACAAAATAGTGTGAATGATAAGCTTATACTGATCCATCTCAAAAAGCACCTGGAATACCCGTGTTTTGAACTCATATCATTATTTTATTAGTTACCACAAACTGGAGTTGATGAAATTCGTCAGCAAACTAAACTATAACAAACAGTTTTGATCACTGTAACCGTTTAAAAATGGTTCAGGATTATTATGTATCTTTAGATTGATGTATTTTCAAATATTATCAGTCAACATGTTTTATATTGGTACTATCTGTCTTCTTTAGAGTAAAGGATTTTTCGAATCCATCTCATCGATTCAAGGTCGAGACAAATGCCAACCAGCTACTTATGACAGGGTTAGTCGCACTACACAGTGATTGCAATGTAGTGGTTGTAGAAGGGGGACCTAAACAACAACGGAAATTTCAACGTCTCATGCTTTGTCGAATAAAATGGCGCGAAGGTAAACGTGGGACAGTTGGTAATCCGTCGGGTTCTTTCTCTCACGAAGATCGTGCTGCCACATCTGAACTTGACAGTGACACAGGATGTCGTTTAATTTGGAAGGTACGTTTAGTCGCTTAAAATTTCGCTATATTTGTTTCTTGATATTTACTTTTGTAAAACTTCATCATGATCCTAAACATAATTAAAACACTAAATAAATGTTATTCAGCAATACTGTAGTTTCATACACTGATCGTCTTTTTAGTTATTATTGATTTCGAGACATATCGGATCTTCAACCACATGTTCAGTGAGACTAAACATACTACGAAGAAGCTGTCTTAACTTATTCAAAGTACTCTTGTTCTTGTTAGATGAACGGAAGATGAGCTTAATGAAATTAGATTGTTTGAGTTAAGAGATTCAGAACATTCTTTGTATTTTGATTCAATGTGAAAGTGGTATGTGACTACCAGTGATTCAAAAGGTATTGGCAGTATGGATGGTATTTATTTGTGAATTATCTCAATCGTAATCTAGATTCTTTAAGGCGAATCTCCAGCCCCTAAAACTTACTATGAAGCTGGCTACAGAAATTTGTCATAAACAGCCTCACTTCCCATTTCTCAGCGTCATGTAATTAGATTCCTAGTCTAAATGTGGGGCTACGTGTTCATGTGGTGAAGTACGCGTGCACTTGATGCCAGTATTTATAAAGATGGCTATACAGCTGAATCAGTGTTTTCCATGAAGTTCCATCTAGTTGTGTTATATCTCAACTTGTGAATAATAGGTGAAAATGTTTTGATTAATTTAGGTGTTTTCATTTGACTGGAAAAACATGACCAATAAGCGAAAAATATGTTCCTTGGCTTCGACATTTTTTATATCATCAGAGCTTTTCAGAGTCTAATGTTTTAGTTCTAACATGTATTGATGTCTAATTTTGCTCATATTTTTTAGGGTACAGTCAAACAACGTGCATTCGATAAAATTCAATTCAAAGCATGTCCCACAGAACTTTACGCACGCGAACAATTTCGTAAACGTGATGTGGAACACTATTGGGATCTTGCATACAGTGGAGCTATATTAGAAACTCTTGATAGCTAACATGTTTCACAAATGTTCTTAGACATTGACTCTGTCAAACATATTCTGTTTATAAAGTGGTATTTTTGGTGTAAATACAAATGTACATCTTTCCTAATGTTTTATTGAATTAATGTTATGCAATAATGTGTTGTACAAAAAATTTCATTTTCTTTGGTAGATACCAAAATGTTTATGAAAAGAGTAAGATGTTTTATGTTGCGTTTGAACACTGTCTACTATTTCTGTTTTACATGAGTTATGTAAACACTTTTTGACGGTGAAAAACTGTTGTTTGTTTTAAACATGTTTCTGTCGTTTTGAGTTCCGAATTGTTTTTTTTCTTTTGTCTATATATACGAAAGTTTTTCAATTCGTTATCTAATTCTATTTTCCTTGCACATTGTGGACTATGTAACATTGAAGTCTGTCATCTTGGGCTATCTTACTGCGAGTTGTAGATATTCTCTGGACAAAACGCTTCAACCTCGTATCATTTTAATAAGTTGGGAAGTGTATTTTGTAAAGTACTTTTGAAATAATAATTAGGATTCTCTGGGTTATAAGTCATTCTAGAAATCTATTTGAAATATTTATTTATGAGAATATATAAGTATTGGTTTCTTATAATTTTGTTTCTATTACCGTGAATTACTGATAATATTCAATTATCCTTTGAGCATATTTGGTTTCATTCGAAATTGAAACGAAAAACGTTTGCAACACAAGTGAAAGTGGTTTTGAAATTCATGTAACTGAAGAGTCGGTTGAACAGTTCAGATGAAGTAATTTCGGACGTAACTATATCTCCGTCTGAAATCACTGCACATGAAATTTATGTAGTGGCAAAGATATCTAATGGAATTTCTCCTGGTCTGCATGTTGAACGATCTGGGATTTCTGGCTTTAGGAAAGCCAAACAATCAATTGCAGGAGCGAGATTGAAAAGTTAGAACTCCCCACTTGTACAACAAATTAAAATTGTCAGCCGAAGTCAGTAATTTATCAGGATGCTAGTCGGAGGTAATGTTTTGTTTCTGTTGTCGGTTATACAACTCCGTGGCTTAAATCTGATGATCATTTGTTCACGTCGCCTAACCATGATAAATGTGGGAGATTATTTTACTAGTATGTTAATAATTTTGAGTGAACCACCAGTTGAGTCATTGTGTGTATGTGAAGGGGAGACCAGTTATAGTGAAATGATATTTGATTGATTTCAGTGTTTGTTTGTTTACTGAGTGTTAACCAGATCAATGGCGTTCTCCCAGCCTCTGTTTGTACATAATAATGTAGGACATGTTGGATTTATTATGTGCAATGATTGTAGAAATAAATTTATTGGTCAAGCTGTGCGAAGAGGGCGTTAAGGTTTATCCACTTTCACACTGAAGTTAGACACACTCATTGTATTATAAGTATTCCACGAAAAATCTAACTTCCAAAACGGCAAGTATCTGTATCTTTTATGAACAGCGATCGCACAACTACTACCTTTTGTTTTAGTCACTAACCCTTCTACGTCGATAAACTTAATTTATTTGTTATCTGTGTCACTGCTGGAATGAAGCATATGAAAATCAAAGAATTGTATGGTGTTTATCGTCATCTTTGTAAGAAATAAGCAGACATTATTTGTTCGTGTGGATATTACACCGAGTGCCGAATATCAAACAAGTCAACATTTTCTAGCACATCCAACTGTATTGTTCAAATACTCGGTTGTTTGCTTTAACCAAATCTATTGCCGAAAAACTGGAAAAACTGTAGTAATTGTTCTTGGTCCACTTATGTCGTACTAATTGATCATCAACATTTCTACTCGGTTTATCGTCGTCGGGAATTTCATATAAATGATTTTATAAGGTTCCAAAGCATACTTTATTTCTTTGAAGAACTACTTATCAGTATAATTCTAAGCATGATAGCTGCATGTAGAAGTACTGCGATCTAACTATTTATCTTAAAGTGTCGGTGATTTTAATAACTCGGTTGATTCTGTTTTGAGTCCGACTGGAGCATGTCGAATAAGAATTTCTCCATACGTGTTTCACAGCTTGTTCTGTACACCTCGACGTTGATTGGTTCTCATTGACCTTAAATTTGTCATCGTTTACTTCTTTGTTTTGGTTGTGTCTCCCATAGATTTGATTTTTGTTCCTATATTTATGCATAATTTTCCTGATTGGTTGAGAAATTGAATCGATTTCAATGTGCTTGTTGATTGCTGATTGACCTGAGTGCCAGGCTTCTAAAAATTCTCTAAAGAATTTCGAACAATTCACTTCTATCTGAAGTTTGTGCTGACAATGTCGTTCAGGAGAACGATGAAAGCTCCACGACCAAACCATCTAGCTCAGAGAACAAAACTATCAAAAAGAATACCCTTATGGTTTCTCATACGGTAACTCCTTTATAGAGCTCTATGAGTGATTGCTGAATTATTTAATTCATTTTTAAGCTGAACCAACTATTTTTTCTTCATTCAGTTAACCAATCACTAATTTAAACAAGGAACGTTAGTATTTTGTTGCTTTGTTTATCTGTTTGACAAATTTAATATGTAACCAATAGATAGAACTACAAAACCGAAAATACCCGAATTAATAAGGCGTAGATAATTCATCATATTAATTGTTGGTGGAAATTTACTAATCGCTTGAACATGTAATGCAGATTTTTAAATATAAACAGTTAAGGTTAATGATAATCATATTCTCATATTGTATGTTACTGCATATTTCTTCACACATGAATATTGAGAAGGCATATCAGAAAGACATTAGGAGTTCCAAAGACCCTAAATATTTAATAACCATATATTAATAATCTTTTTGCATATGTTTTCTTAACCTAGTGGGAATTCATTTAATCCTGTTGCTTGAAGTACGAAGTGGATAAAGGAGGAGGGTTGGGCATGGGGTTAGCGATTTCATCCCGTAGAAAAATAACTCGCTAAAAAACGCTAACCAGAAGTAAAGAAATACGAAGTGATGTTGTTCTCTTTGCTGGATTGTTGCGAAAATATATAACGTGGTAGGGCTTCTCGATAATACTCATATATTTCTGTTTGCATTCATCGATCTTCTGGTTTGTTAGCCTTAGATGAATACTATTACTAAGATGGTTTGAATATTCTTTAAAACATTTGAGTTTGAAGAACTTATTTGTTTCGTTATTTCTTTTTCTCGAACTGTGCTTATGTTGAAGGCTAATAAATCTTGCTAGTCGTACAGATTTTGATTATACCATTCTTAGTTTTGATATTTTTGGCCGGAAATATGTGGTAATTAAGTCTGTGTCCACCGGAACAATTTTTTAAAAAAAAGTTCATGGCATGATTTGTTTGCTGTAGATTACTGATGAACTGTTAAGCTTATAATTATATGTGAAAATTATATTTGAAATAATCTCGGCGATTGAAATTTAAAATAATTCCAACATTTTGTCCAGCAAACTTGTTTGGACTTCTTCGCTGTGGTAATCAAAATCAAATCATCAAAGAAATTATTTGATTTTGATTATCACCCTGAAGAAGTCGAAACAAGTTTGCCGGACAAAATGTTGGAATTATTTTGAATTTCAATCGCCGAGATTATTTCAAATATAATTTTCACATATAATGACTTCTCTATACCAGGCTCCCAATTTTTGTCAAACTGTTCGTTTTAATATTGACGAATGTTCGTATAAAGTGTTAAGCTTGTGTATATTTGTTTTGTTTAGGATCATACTTGTGAGACGTCTTAACTATTAATTCACTTAGGATTTCTGGATACAGTCGTTTGTGTCCTGTTGGACATTGTGTTATACTGTATTTAACATTGGTGGTAGCGTTCAAGCTTTTACGAGTAGGCATTTCCACTGTAGCCTATTATCCAGCTGAGATAAATTTCACTTTATTTGGATTTACTTTGTCCATTACACAGTATACAAATTTTCAGTGTACACCGTCTCAAACAGTATCCGGATCAGTAACAAAAGATGAGCAACGTCATAAGGTTGAATGAAATCGAGAGGTTAGTTGGAACTTTCTTCACTTTATGACAAAGAATGAGGTATAGTTGTCACAAATATCTACGAATTTCTATTAGTCTCTCTAAACACTGTCATCTATAAATCTCAGTTGGCGTTATAACTTTGACGTACACATAAATATCGAAAATAAATAGTTATGTCGCTAAGCTCGGTGAAACCTAACGCATAACTTAATGTCAGAAGATAGGATAAACAGTTAGAAATACATTATTGCATCTTCCCATTTTGCTTTAGGCCGTCATATTTAATCAGGTTTCAAGGTTCTGAAAATAATCTTACTATTTTATTATTTGTTAATATTTTAGGGACTACGCATATCTGTTTGTAAATCCATTGTTATTTCATAAATCTTTTGAAGTTATGTAAAGAAAATCAGGTAAAACAGTGTAACTCCATTTCCAATATAATACGCGGAATGCTGATTTTTGTAAGACTAATGTGATATAAAATTCACGAATGACTTTTTACTTAACAGTAAATTGTCTAGATGAGAAAAGTTTGTCTCTACTAAAGATCAAGACAGATGGGGTTCAAAATTAAATTTTAAGTAGCTCCATGTTAGAGCAATAGGTCTTTATGACTCAAGTTTACAATTCATTAATTATTAATGTGTAACGCTGTCTTTAAACTAGGTAATTGACGTATTCAAATTTGTATGATGAAATTTTTACAAGATCATAATTCGACGGTTAGCAAAAAAGTAAAGACTTAACATTTCTAATTATGTTCTCAATCCTTAGAGTACTTAAACTTACACTATTCAGTTGGGTTTTTGTTGTATATCTTGGCTAATAACAAATGAAGTGAATTGAGCCATGATTGAAGAAAGTCTAAATTTGTCAATTTCTATGATTAAAAATTATAGACAAGTTGGGTTTATAATGTTTTTGATTTATAGGATTTTTAAAAACTAAGCTAAAATGTACACTTACTTTATCCAAGTTTGAAACTTCTGAGACATAATCACTACTCCCCTCCCCACAGATTTCTTAAGATCAGATCACTGATCATTTACGTTTTGTAGCGATCATGTTATCGTTTGAACTTCACTACTTGTTTGCATTTTGCTCATCTAGTTCATTTAAACTAAAAGACTATATTAATGAATAATAGCATATATCAGTGCATAATAATGAAAATGATAATTATGAAATATTTATATCTAGTTTATTTTAGAAAAATAATTCACAACAAAAACTGATCATACTACTTATAGTTTTAGCATTTTTTATAAAAGTTAACATATGATGTTATTTAAGTATAGTAATGTGATATTTTATTCTACATGAAAACTTGTTGCATTACTTCTCATAAAATACTTTTCAAAGGTGTATTTGTAAATACAAATATATTTAAAAAGCTTCAAAATGATGTTTTCTTTTCACAGAAAAACGTAAAAAAATAAGATCATGTAAAATCTCAATTCAATGAAAAGAAAAACAAAAACCTGAATAATATTTAAACGATACATTTCGTATCAGTAGGGTTTTTGTGGATATTATAGTAATTTCAATGGTTGAAATCATGAGTCAATTAGAGCTAGACTACCATGGAAAACCTGGAAGAACTGGACGACCGTTTCGTCCTAT